CAGGAATTCTGCAGGGTCCCAGGGCCTGGTGGGTGCTGCTCTGTCTCACCCTGTGCCTCTGTCCCTCCAGCACAGCTGCAGCCCCAACCTCTTCGTGCAGAACGTCTTCGTGGACACCCACGACCTCCGCTTCCCCTGGGTCGCCTTCTTCGCCAGCAAGTGAGTTTGGGGGCTCATCCCACCCTGCTCCTTGGCCACTTCCACCCCAGCCTGAGTAGGGAAAACCTTGGGGAGGAGCTAGAGGAGGATCCCAGGTCGCTCGTCGGGGCTGGAGGTTCTGGTGCCATTTGTGGCAGTTTTAGACCTTCCCAAAGAAGGTGGGAGGTTGAGCACAGAGCAGCTGAGCAGGGGGAATCCCTGCCATGTCCCTTCTGGCCTCCAGGAACACATCGAAGCCCTAGATGGGCAATCCAAGGAACAATTCCAAGGGCAATTCCCTTTCCAGTGGTGGCTCCTTCACCCTGGAACCGCACCGCCCTGTCCAGAGAGGTTCCCTGTGGGCGTCGTTCTCTCCTCAGGATCCTGCTTGGCTGATCCCCTTTGGAATGTTCTCTTCTCACAACCTGTGCTGCTTCTTTTTCCCCCAGGAGGATCCGAGCTGGCACGGAGCTGACCTGGGATTACAACTACGAGGTGGGCAGCGTGGAAGGCAAAGAGCTGCTGTGCTGCTGCGGGGCCATCGAGTGCCGCGGGCGGCTGCTGGGACCCCCCTGGACCCCCACAGATCCCCCTGGACCCTCCACAGATCCCCCTGGATCCCCAGGCTCCACGCTGGGGGGCAGGGAAGGGCAGATCTGGGGCAAGAGCTCCAACACTGCCCTGGCTCCATGGCAGCTTCACAAGGACAAACTCCCTCCTGTTCCTTCTCCAGTGATGCCCCCAATTCACGTGTTGGGGTTTGGGTTTGCGGGTGGTTTTTTGGGGGGCTGGGCTCTTACCTGCACATCCAAAGGGTTCAATAAACCACTACAAGGGCAAAAAGAGGCAGATTTTGACAAATTGGAATCAAATGGTTCATCACCCACCGGCTCAAGCGCAAAACCTTGGTCTGAGGGGGGAGCTGGAGCAGCAAAATGGGGGTTCCACCTGCCCCAAGTGCAGCCCCTGTGACTCTGCTCACACAAGGGAGGATTTTTTTTTTTTCCCCTACTAAAGAAAAACTTTTAGACAAGAAAAACCAAAACCCACCACACCTTTGTCAGGCCTGAGCTCCAGTTCCATCCTCTCAGTTTCCACCTGAATAGCAGCTTTGTCACCCGAGGAGGGTGGCAGCTCCTCTGGCAGGGCTGCCCCTGGGGGGGAGGATATAAAAATAACAAAAACCCTCCAGTCTGCTCCATTTAGCACTGAAAGCAAAAGGGACCTGCACCCAGTGAGCCCCCCCCAAAAAGAGGGCTGTGGTGCCACCCACAGAAGAGACCCAAGGTACCTTCACTATTAGTTTGGGTTTTTTTTATACCGAAGTTTATTAGTTTTTTTTTAAACTTTTAATATATTTAACCTTATATTTAAAAAAAAAAAGAAAAAAGAAAAAAAAAGCAAAACAAAACAAAACACGTTTTGGTCTGATGTTGGTTAATGGTCCTTTTCCCCCCCCACCCCTCCGTGCTGGGAGGTCTCCCCACATCCCGGGTGGATGCAGGAGGCAGAGCCAAGCCCGGCTCCTTCCAACTTCCAAATAAATAGAAACAAAAACCAAAAACAAGGAGGGGGGGAAAAAAAATATCAGTTGCAAATTTGTCCTGTTACAGCTGGGAAAGGGCCCAGGAGAGGCCACGGGGAGGGAAGAGACTGGAAACCCTTTGACAAGGAAAAACAAGGGGATTAAACTGGGGGAGACAAGTAGTGACTGAACCCTGTGGCTTCCTGGCTCCCCCCACCCCGAGCACTTTCATAGTGTCATTGTGAAATTCAGCCACCAAAACACCCCGGGTGTCACCTGGGATGTGTCACCTGCTCCCCCGGGGTGTCACTTGGGATGTCACCTGCTCCCCCAGGGTGTCACTTGGGATGTCACCTGCTCACCCAGGGTGTCACTGGCTCCAGCTCCCAGAGGCTTTTCCACCACTCTCGAAGTGCGGGGCAGGGAAGGGGATTTTTATCCCAGTGTTGGAAGAGGCTGCAGGACCCGCTCCCCTCCGGCCAGGAGATGGTTGGAAAAAAGGGAATAACGTGGGGCTGGAGCCCGTGAGGGGCTGGAGCCGGGAAAGTCACCAGAGCCCGGAAAGGCGCCATCCCAGGGGGAGGCTCCTGGCTCCGCCTGTCCCGGGGCACGGTGGTGGATTAAGGCAGGAGGTGAAAGGCAAAAATGGCCCCAACGGGACGGGGGGGGGGAGGAGCGACCATTGCCCCCCCCGGAACTGCTGCCCCCTGGAGCTGTGGCCCCAAATCAGGGGGAAGGGGAGCCCAGAGGGGCTCTGGGGGTCCCGGTTTGCTTTGCTGGCCCAGGGAGGGACGAGGATGGAGCGGCCGGGGGGGACACCTGCAAGGGTGACATGGCTGGGGTCTGACACCTCCTGGGTGTGGGCTCTAGGGGCCCCCCCGGCCCCCCCGCCGGGCAGGACGCTCAGTCGGTTTTGCGGTGGTTGTTGTTGAGGACAGGGTGGCCGTTGGAGAGGGGCCCATTCTTCTCCTCCTCCTCCTCAGAGTTGTCCGTCTCCTCGCGGTCGCTCCGCTCATCCTCAACCACCTGCAAGGGGAGAGGGAAAAGGGTTGAGGGGGCTCAGTCAGTGGTAACCCCCATTTTACTGCTGTGCCTCAGTTTCTCTCATTGCCACCACCACAGTTTCCTCCCCTTCCAGCCCCTTGGGAAGCCAAGTGCAGTTTGCCTTCATGGTTTGGGGGGCTCCTCTCACTCCCAGAGCCTCCATCCACCTGAAGCCACGTTGGGCGAGTTCAGATCCAGCCCCAGTGGCATCAGGAGCCCCCAGTCCCCCCCCTACAAGCCCCCTCTTCCCTTTCCCCCCCTACAAGCCCCCTCTTACCTTTCCAGTTATGAACTTCTGGGCCATGCGGATGATGAGGTAGGCCCAGAAGATGTGCAGCGACTGCAGCACGACCATCATGAAGTTGAAGAAGTAGTAGCCAAAGAAGGGAGGGTAGAGATCCAGCGGGTAAACCACCGTGCAGTGCATGATCCTGCGGGGGGAGCAGCTCCATCACGGGCAGGGACCAGCATCCCACCCCCCCGTGGGACTCCCCACCCCCCTGTGGGACTCCCCACCCCCCTGTGGGACTCCCCACCCCGTGCCTCAGTTTCCCCACCCCTTCCCCAGGGCCCAGTGCTCACCAGAAGGGCAGGATGACCAGGCGGGTGATGATGAAGACGGCGGCGAAGACGATGAAGATGTTGTTGCAGGTGTTTCTCCAGCCAGCATAGTTGAACATCTTGGCAGACTGAGGGGACAGGGAGGGGGGTGAGTTGGGGAGAGGACACGGGACATGGAAGTGGCTGTGGGGAGGGGGCCTCACCTCCAGCAGGTAGTCTGAGGAGTCGTGCAGGGCCATGATGAGCGTCCCTGCGCGGACGTAGTTGGCGAACCAGGAGAAGCTGATGAGGATGATGGTGGCGACGTGGTGGATGATCTGCTCCTTGAAGTCCTGGGAGGGGGGATTGGAGGAAGGGGGTGTCACCCTCAGCTTCCAGGCCCCCTCCATGACCCTAGATCCTCCCAGCTGGGGTGTCCCTGTGCCTCCCACCCCCGTCCCCAGGGACCCCCACCTTGCGCTTGACGTCGGAGGCGATGCTGAAGAGCAGGGACCAGTAGAAGGAGAGCTCGATCATGTAGTACCAGTACTGGGAGGGCAATATGCTCTGAAAGCCAAGGGGACACAGTGAGGGGGACCCCTGGAGCGGGGCTGACCCCCTTTCCTGGGCACCAACCAGACCCAGGGGTGTCTTGGGGACCTTCCTGCACCCCCTGCTGTGCAAACCCCTTCCCCGTGCATGAGTCAAACCCAGATGGGTGACAGTGACACTGTCACCCCCAGGGGGGTTCAATCCCCCTTGGGGAGGCCTCAGGCAGACCCAGAGAGCCCCTCCCACAGCTCCAGAAAGGGCTGTGGAACGTCGGGGGGCCAGGATTGGGCACTCACCTGGATGGGGTACCCCTTCCACACCTCCCGCAGGTCGTAGAACCAGGGTTTCTGTGGGTTGTGGTGGGAAGAGAGAGAGAAAAAGGGTTAGGGGGGACTAGGAGGGACCTGGGGGGCACAGGGGGGGACACGATACTTACATCCACTATGACAGCCATGCCAGCAATGAAAGCAATAAGGTAAAACGTGAATCGCCAACTGGAAAAAGGAAGCAGATGGTCCTCAGACAGGCCCCGGGAGAGGGAGGGAGGAGGATGGACCCACCAGACCCACGTTCCCCCCCCCAGGCCGGGGCCCGCAGGGTGACAGTGACACCAGGTCTCACCTGGCCTCCCTGAACTTCTTGAGCAGGCTGGGCCGGTCCTGGTTGCGGTGGCGGCGGAACCAACGCTCCCCCTGCCGCACCGAGTGCCCGCTCTTCTTGGACAGCATCTCCACGTCGGCCTGGGGACAGCAGGGATGTCACCACCACACCACGGGGCAGCCCCCGCTGGGGACCCTCCTCCTCCTCCCTCCTGCCCCTTCACCTGCTTGGGGTGTTTGGTGGTGGCAGCATAAAACTTCTCCAGCACAGGGTTAGGGGTGGCTTTTAACCTGATCTTCTCCTTGACGTTCAGCAGCCCGGCCAGGGGGGTGGCCACGTACCTGGGGGAGGAACAAGTGGACACAAAATGTCCCCATTTCTCTGCCATTTAGCTGATCTGGCTCCATCAAAGGACCTGCACCCACTCGGTGCTCAGTCTCCCCAGCCCATGGCCACCTCTCCAAGGTGGGTTTTACCCCAGGGGAATCCCCCAGGTCCCCTCTGCCACCCTGAGCTGGGGAGCAGCCCCCCCAGGAGGTGGCAGGGCGGGCACAGGGGGGCCTGGTGCCCTCCCCCTTCCCCTGCCATCCCAACAAAGCCCCGTCTGTTCCCGGCCTCCACTCCCCATTGTTTGCCCAACAAATCGCTCCTTAAACGCCTGCGCTGGGATAAGGGGGGGATGCACCAAGCTGGGCTGG